AGAGAGAGAGAGAGAGAGAGAGAGAGAGAGAGAGAGAGAGAGAGGGGGGGGGGGAGATGTACTGCGAATCGTATGGATGGCGCGAAGGGGTGCCTGAAAAAGGGTTCTTTCCCTCTCACTCTCCTGATCCTGTCGCTCTGCCAAACTCTTCCTGCAGCGCAAGTTCCCAGTGCGTGGAGCCGTGGCTGGAGAGTCTAACGCCGCCGTCGCGGCGGAGGACCCGCTCGGGAGAGCGTCTCTCTCGAGTCTCTCCCGCGGACCACGGACCACTCGCGGGGCGGGGCCCCGCTGCCTGTGTCTCGTCGATCACTCGTTGGTGTTGCGGCATGCTTCGTGTGACACGGAAAAGAGAGAGGGAGAGAGAGAGAAAGCGAGAGGGAGAGGGGGAGAAAGGCATTGTGGGTACTCCAACAACCCCCCGTCGTCATGCGACGTCCCCGCATCCCTGCGCGTCGTCGTCCTCATATCAGTGAGAGAGGCGAAAAAAAAGAAGAAAAAGACACGCGGAAATAGGAGGAAACGTGTCGAGGGTTCGAGAGCCTCTACTGAAGCACCCTCCCCCCTCCCCCACCCCTTGCTCGCCTCTCCCCAGCAGCGCCCATCCGCCTGATGGTGATGGAGTGGTACTTGTGATTGTGTTGTGTTTGGTATGCGGAACGCTAGAAATAAAATAAAAAAAAACTTTTGCTTGGTCTGGCTTCGTCTCTCTGTTATTTCGGTCGGAAGTTACAGAAACAAAAGCAAGGGCGAAACGGCTGTGGCGCGGAGTTCAACACATTTTCCAACAAGAGCGGCGGCGCGTGGCCTTGGATTCTTACATTTCAAAGTGCCGCGGTCTCATATTGTACTCTAGGAAAAAAAATACAAGTGATGGTAAACATGACATTAAAGAAACGGTACGACAATTTTATTTTTTTTTACAGTGCGTCCCCTACTTTTTGAAAGGTACATAATTCGGCCACCACGCGGGTTAAAGAGGGGAGGGGGAAGCGCAGCGGCTCCGCTCCAGCCGGCGGGCATAGTAATCGGTGTAGGTGAACTTTTACAGTTATGCACTGTGAAAAATAACCGTACAGGGCTGCAGGAAAAAACGAAAGGCGGAGCTTCCTGGACTGGTCAAAAGGGAAGTGTCCGAAGTTATTGTGGCCGCCCGTTTGTACAGTATGTGTCCGCGCTCATCGGCGTGCGCGATTAATCTCGCGTCATGGGTGTTGGGCGATAGCCACGGCCCCCGCGCGTGCACCCAGAAAAAAAATCCTTTGAATTAAAGAAACTTCATTTAATTCAACGAAAATTTCGTGCCTATGGAACCAAAGAAAACTCTTTCGTTCATACAACAAAAAACTTTATTTTACAGAACGAAATTTTTGTCAGATTGAAAAAATGTTGTTTGAGCTAAAGAAATGTTTTCTTCTAGTCAACGAAAATATCGTCAATTCAGTTCGTGATTTCGTTTAGTCAAATTTACGGTCCTCTGGGTGCGGTGGCTGGAGTGGTCTAGCTCCTTATCACCCGAGCTAGGCCGCAACATGTGAAGGCCGCCAAGTCGTCGGCGGAACAAAGCGATACCAAACGAGTCCGTGCTGCAGCACACCAACTCCAGGAGGCACGCCGCCGTCGTCGTCGTGAGGGTGCAGCGTCTCACCGCGCTCCTGCTGATCCAGAAATGTTGTTGCACAGCGCGGTGTTGGCCGCCGTGCTGCTACGGGCGGCCGCCTTGACCGCGCTCTGCCCCTGCCCGTCGTCGTCGCCACCCAACTCCGAGGACATCCCGGTGTGTGGCAGTGATGGCATCACCTACTCCAGCGAGTGCGAGCTGCAATGCGCCGGCCTGCCCGCTGGTGAGTCCCTATGCATGCAGCCTGGAGTACCAGTGTCCGGCTCGGGCGCTACAACGAGTGGTCGTGTTTGCCCCCAGGACACTCCGTCGCCCACCCCGGGCCGTGCGCCGCCCCACCTGAAGAGACCGTCGCTGGCCGTCACCGCCGCTACGCCGTGGAGTATGATGAGTGGCAGCAATGTTTCGACGAACGGCAGGTGCACTCTCAACCCTTTTACTAGAAAATCTGCCTAGTAACTACTTAAGTCTTGCGCTGTTGCATATTATCAAGAAATTATTTAGTGTATTGCTAACCTTTTTCCTAGTATAACGAACCGAAATCCAATAAGTACCGTAATTAGAATATTACAGGAAAACGTTTAGTTTGGTTTAGTTAGTAATACCGGAAAAAGTTCAGTAATACTGATGAATTTCCAGATAATAGACAACAGCACAAACCTCTAGTAGTTTACAATCTATGGGCCTGAGGGAGCCACCCTTGAAGCTGCCCCGCTGACTGACCCCCTTGTTGCAGTGCGGCGAACCGCACTACGGCAACTGCAGCGAGTGCGTCGCGGGCGGATATGAGAAGTGTCACGAAATGTGCGCGTGGAACTGCGCGTGCGGATGCTCGGGGCTGCCGACGGGCGCCGGGCTGGACGAGGACTCGCACGACCTGTTCGACGAGTGCTGCGAGGAGAAGCGGTGCACCAACAGCAAGAGGTGGGAATGCGAGGGGAACTGCGGCGACCACCAGTTCTGTGTAAACTTGTGCCACATGGAGCAGGTGAGGTGCTCCTGCGACTGCGTCCAGCACGCGCTGACCAGCAGGACATCCGCGCCCACGATCAGTGCCTCCGCGGCGCCGGCGACAAGCAGCATGTGGGAAGCTTTGCTCTCCCTCGTGCACGCAGTGTTGTTGCGTACGGCTAACTCATAGAATGTGATAGGAGGGCGCAGATTTGATTTACCTTTTATGAGCGCCAGGAGTTAACTCATCATATTATCAATTCCTCAAATAATAGATATATGCCAAACTGTGCATGTGAACAAACACAATAAACAAAAGAGATGGGTATTGATAGAGCCCACTTTTTTCTCCAAATTCTTTGCAGCTTGTCATCAACTTGTGTTTTAAATTGACAGAAAGTGGCCAATTTTATTTTATTTTTTACTCGTGCGTGAGATTGGCAGGAGAGGGTAGAGACGAGGGGCAGGGGCTGAGAGGCTGCGGGTGAGCCGAGATGCGCCCCGTGAGCTTTATGGACGACTTGCCCAGAGTGGCGGAGCGTAGCGGGAACCACAACAAAGCAGAAAGCTACAAAAGAAAAACTACGCTATACGTCCAGAAAGTAGTGTTTGACAAGGTTTCAATCAATGTGCAGGCTTTATATACACCTATGCATTCACATAGCACTTCTAGAAGACAACTTAAACCGCGATATAAAGCATTTCTTCTCGTAGGTTATGGTGCTTTGTTGTGGTTCCCGCTACGCTCCGCCACTCTGGGCAAGTCGTCCATTCATTCACTTTCCGCCAGACAACAGTTGAAAAGCAGCCGGGGGCGGCGCCAGTCGGCCGCCGCCGACAGGGCAGGAGGACGGCAGGACGTTGTGCGGGGCGGGTGGGGCGGGCGGCGGTGGAAGTGAGGAGGAGACCTTTGATCTAGACGGAGCGAGAAAAATATTCCGGGGTGAAGAGGGCTCACGGGCCCCGGGTGGTCGACGGTCGATTGCACTCATTTAGCGGTCACCAGGGTTCAAATACTGTACCCCGTTTCGCAATTATTCATCTCTCTCTCTCTCTCTCTTTTTTTTTTTTTTTTTTTTCAATTTTGCACTGTGCATGGTCTATTATATCGAAAAGAAAATATGATCAGCCGTACCTATCACGTCACCCACCACTTGGGCACGGGAGCGGCATTGCTTTAGAAAAGCTGTGAAAAAAAACAAAAAAACAAAGAGAAGTAAGCATTGAAACCAGTTGTTTGGTCACACAGTAGTTTTGCAGTGCTCGCGTGCGCAGCGGCGATCTGGTGCGGGCGAGAGGCAAGGCGGGAGGCAAGGCGGGAGGCAAGGCGGGAGGCGGGAGGGAGGTGCTCGCGAGGCGCGTGAAGTCGACCGCGCCATTGTTCGGCGCGATCTGGCTTGGCGGACCTGGAGCACTACTGCGGCCACCTCCTTCTCCACGGTCAGCAGCAGCAGCAGCAGCAGCAGCAGCAGCAGCGGCAGCAGCAGCAGCAGCAGCAGCAGCAGCAGCAGCGGCAGCAGCAGTGGCACAGCGGACATCACGCACGCGCCATCCCGCTCCAGGGCACATGTTCATACGCGCTGCCGGCGTGACACTGACTTGCACGCCACAATGTCATATGAGCCTTGCGCGTTCTCTCCATATCCGGAAAGGTATTATGCACATTTCAAAACCGCACAGAGGCGGTTCCAGCCCACGCGAAGGAACCGGCAAAAACAGTGTTGTGGGCCATGCGCTGTCCTAAATAAACTCGCGCACAGCCCCGTGTAATGTTAAGTCAAGCATTCACAAAAAAAAGGGGCAGCAGAAAAAGAGTTCTTGGATCAAGTACTCTGCACCCCTGACCTTTTCAAATAGCCTACATATCACTCTATCCATGTGATTGAATCAAGTGCAGTGTATACACTTAATCCAAACGCGCAGTTTTTTGGGGGAGTCAAGCTGGACGCAGGTTATTATTTGCGGGTAAGGCACTCATTTTTACTTCAACTTCAAAATATCTTACAGTTGATTGTGATCAGGGGACATGAATCATGATATCGATTCTCTGTCCTTGGTATCGGTATCCCTTGCGGTGCGGTGGCTGGGCCAGCCCGCTCGCCGCGCTGCCTCCGATCTGCCCTCCTTTCCAATGGCTGCTTAGTGACGGGATGCTGCCTACATTGACAAACTTCGATCAGGACACGCCTTGTTGCTTCACTTCCCGTGCCAGCTTGTTCTTTCTCTTCCTCGCCTTTTCTTTTTCCACCCTCTCTCCCCGGACCCCTTACTTCTTTTTTTCTCTCCTTCCTTTTTGTCGACGCCGCTGTTACGGGCCAGTGTTTGAAAGTTATAGTTTGGGTCGGAGTTGCGGGGAGGGATAGGGTGTGGGGGAGGG